TCCTGTAATAGGTCAAGTCAAGTCCAAGTCAAGTCACCTTATTATTGTAATTTTACCTGCAGAATCTGATCTTAATAAAGTGAAAAGACAAGATATAAGTAACTGTCAGTAAACATTGACTTCATCGCTGCAATGTTTACTTTGCAGGGACGACCCCCATGCGCGCACGCGCACACACACACACACACACACACACACACACACACACACACACACACACTAACCAAGGCAGCGGCCAAAATCACCCATTTAGCTCATTTAACCCTGTGTTGCTCGTTCATAAAATGTACAGCCGGTCTTGTGATGAACCGGTTGGAATGTTCGCTCACGTTTTCTGGGGTTAATGTTAGCAAATAAATTAAAAAACAAGTTCCACCAAACCGTCCCGAGTCTTTAACTTCCAAGTCTGAGTCAAGTCTCAAGTCTTTTATTTTTTGTCAAGTCAAGTCACAAGTCATCAAAACAGCGACTCGAGTTGACTCGAGTCCAAGTCACAATGACTCGAGTCCCCATCTCTGTTAAGTACTGAAAATATCTGACGTAAAGATGTGTGCCTTTTCTCCAATATAATGGAACTAGATGGTACTCAGCTTGTGAAGCTCAAAATGTCAAAAAATGCATTTAAAAAACTCAACAGCAATGACTCTTTCCAGAAATCATGACCCAGTTACTCAAGATAATCCACAGACCTTGTTTTGCGCAGTTTCATGTAGGAACTATTTTCTTTCAACTTAACTACACCCACTAAGCGTATCACTGTGCAGAAGGAAGAGTGCATCTACTCATGGACGAGAAGTTCATATTTGTGACAGGGTGAGATGTAAACATTAGTGGCATTATCTTTGGCTTAACTGTAATCTTAGCTAGCTCAGTATTGGCAATACGGTTGGTGGGTGTACTTTGGTAGAAAGAAAATATTTCTTACATGAAACTACTGACAACACGGACTGTGTAATCAGGTCTTGAGTAGCCAGGTGATGATTTCTGGAAAGAGACATTGTGTTGAGTGTTGAGTCAGATGTAGTTTTTGGGTGCTTTGAGTAACACAACCCGAGTGCCATCTAGTTGCATTATATTGGAGAGAAGGCAGACATCTCTACGGCTGATATCTCCAGCACTCAGCAACTCACACCAAAACAATCTAGACTGATAAATAGCACTACAGGTAAGAGGAAGAATATGTATTTTTGAATCAGGGGTAAACTGTCCCTTTAACAAATAGTTAATACAGGGTTATAAATCTTTTCATCAAATTCTGGGCAAGAAAACAAATTACCTTCTTTTCCAAAATGTCAGATTATTGTTTTTCATGTGTCTGAAGCCAGACAGTTGTTTTCCCCTGCAGTTTATACCCCACTTTGCTGGCATGTTTGACCTTGTAAAAGCCACTGGATAAAACCAGATTTATGGCTCAAAAAGTCTAACACCTGCATTTTGCAGCATGATAGATGGCTGTGGTGGCCTGACAGACCCCACTGTAGGCCTTGATAGCTCCTGGCTAACAAGAGTTGAACCCTGCTTCATGTTTGAAAGTGACGCTGATTGGAGTCGACAGGCCAGACTTGCTAAGTTCCTCGGCAGAAAGCCTGGCCAGCTGACGAGGTGGAAACACGTTAGTCGCTCAGTGCAGACACAGCTGTTCTACCACTCAGCAAACAGAGTGGAGACAAACCTACATCCTGGGCATTGTACTTAAATGTTGTTTAATTTAGCCGGTGTGGTTTATGTTCTGTGCCCCTGAGAAGCAGAGGTGGGGTTCGGCTGCCACATGATGATTCCTTGTCATTTTATATTTATCCAACATGATACTTATCAGGCCTGGGGCAGGTCCTGGGGAATTGTACAGAATATTTTGTAAGATTAATGAGGTAAAACTGCCAGCTTTTAATACTATTAGTTATAATCAGGCAGAATACACCTGATCATTACAGTCAAGGTGAAGTAGGCAATCTATCTCTGTTATCCAAGTGTCCTTTCTCTTTTCACTGGCATCAGAGAGCTTTCTTTTTTTTTTTTTTTTTAAATCGGCTTGGCTATCAATATTCAACAGACTCAATCAGTGCTCCTTTTGTGAGCTGCCAAGCTATTAAAGATGCAGATATATTAAAGTGCACCGCAGATCATGTTTTAATGCTGACAGATTGTTCCCAATTATGTCCTTAATTCTGTAGGCCTGCCAAATGTGAAGCAGGACATGTACTCTTACTGCAATGGAGAGGTCAAGTGGTTAGAGAAGGTGTGTGTGTGTGTGTGTGCAGGGTGACTGGATGCCAAAACATATGCTTGCACATATGGGTGAAACAAGTAGAAGATTATGCAACAATTTTGATAATTAATCAAGTTTCCAAAATGTGCTGGATTTTCCTTTTTTTTCTGATACCAAACTGAATTTATTTAGATAAACAACTGTTCTTTCGACAAAACATGCATTTTTAATAAGTCATCTTGGGCTCTGAGAATTTGTGATGGGCATATGATCAACAAAGTATTCAGCAGATTAATTTATAATGAAAAAAATATATAAATATATAGTATTATTTATAATGAAAATAATCATTAGTTGCAGCGGGTAAATTGTTTCCAAGCTCATGACTGATTTATCATGCATATTTGTTCAGCTATGTGTAATCAGCTGTAATCAAATCATCTCTATGCTACCAACAAACATACTAAATAAAAGCTTCAGAATTAAAGCACCAGGGGTCCACTTTGATTTATTTCATTATAACAACACTTTATTCAAATGTATTATCATAACAGTACTTTATTTCACTTTATTATGAGAGCACTTTATTTAATTTTATTGTAACAGTACTTTAACTTTATTTTAACAGTACTTTATATAACTGTATTATAACAATGCTTTAACTTAAACTATAATAATACTTTAACTTTATAATATGGATACTTTGTTTAACTGTATTATAACAGTACTTTATTTAACTTTATTATAACAGTAGTTCACTTAGTAGTTTAGTATTTTAGTAGTGTAAAACCTTAATCACACAGAAAGTGGGTTTTTTTGTAACTGTTTTAAGAGTTTTGCATTGCTGCACACCTTGCTGGAGCACTCTGAACTCCTCAAGTTGAAGTAACTTCAACTAAGAGCGGAAAAGCTCCGCATGTCATCTCTGCTTCTGTCCCATCGTCCAAAGGATGATTTGAGAGGCGGGCCTTCTGCGGTGGTCATGAAAACAAGTTTACAGTTGGTGAACAATGGAGGACAAACTGGTGTTAGCAGTTGTTGGATACCCAGAGCTATGCGACGTTACAAACCACAGTTGCCATGATCTCAATAGAGAATAGCTACTGATTACTGTGAAATAAATTAAATAGAAATAAAAAATAATGAAAATAATGGTAGAGTGATTACACAGGTAAGTTAGGGTGAGGAGGTGATGGGGTGGTTACCACAATAAATAGGTGCAGCAAGCATTTTTTTATTAGTGGCATTCAGTTAAAAATAAAAGCAAAAAAATAAATAAATAAATAAAGCATTGTGGTGCACCTTATGTTTTGCAACCTGCAAAACACTTTAAGTGTGATCAGGGCCTAAGAGGAGATTTCAAAATATCAAGGTAAATATTGTGTATGGCGATATATAGTCTAAAAATATTGAGATATTATTTATAGGCAATATCTTCCAGTCATATTGCATACACACAAAAAAGAAAAGACACTATAAATATGTAGTTCTATTATTCTGATGAGCTCTCCTTTGTCTTTTTCTTTTAGTATGAATTCAAGGCCAAGAGCATCAAGAAGAAGAAAGTCAGCATTGTGGTGTCTGTGGACGGAGTGAAGGTGATTCTGAGGAAGAAACAGAAGGTAAGTCACTAGTGACAAACTCTTAAAGGAATATGCTGTAACCATTTTCATCTCAATTCAGAAATTAAATGCCAGGGTTGGTAACAAAAATCAGTTTTAGCATATCAGTAATAATAAATGTATAAATTCTTTGATATAAGATGATAAGATCAGTGCGTAATCATGGTTATCTGTCTCATACACAGAGGAAAGAATGGACATGGGATGAGAGCAAGATGCTGATCATGCACGATCCCATTTACAGGTCAGTCACACCTCAGTCTCTGACAGTTTAATAGCTTCACACTGTGAAAAACATACAAAATGTTGCTATCTTTGCCACTTGGTATAAACACTTTATACACTCAGGGGATTAAACTGTCAAATATTCAGTCCGGCCTGTTCCTTGCACTCTGCATGTTCTTGTTAGCTTTGACCACAGTGATTACCATGCGTATACTGCGTATAATACAAACTGTATGTCTCAGTGGAAATTGCATCTTCCAGCTCAACCCCTGTGGATGAAGCTGAGGCTTCCATGTATTTAACATGCAGGACTAATGTGCTTAAATGTACTATAGCGTATGTGCCAGATGCACTTACATTCATAAGATAATGAATAATCTATAGCTTGTGCATGTAGTTAGTAGAGCATATGTTTGTCAGTATGTAATTTTTTCCAGGGGAGGCATCCTACTTTCAGAATAAATTCACAGTGATCTGGTATTTAGAACTATTCTTGCAAGAGTACTTGAGTTTGTATGAAAAAAAATATACAAACGTGTCCAAAAATACATTCATTAGGGCCCCAACATCCCATCAGCCATCTTCCCTGTCTACATAGTGATGGAGCCTGTCAAGCAATCATCTACGGGCCTGTGAAGCTGTCAGTTTCTGCTAAACAACTCACAGCAAATAAACTGCAAAGTGTCAAAATATAATAATACTGCCTGTCAGGTGCTGAGAAGTAAAGGGAATTTTAGAATTGAAAGTGCAGGCAAAAATTGAAGATGAACTTTTTGGTCAGGACTGTGAACGTCTGGGTTTTTTGTTCTTCTTTTTTGGCTGACTTAAAACAAGCAATTAGAGCTAATAAGGCAGCCTCTTCGTGGAAATGAAAATCTCAGAGATGGAAAAGAGTATGCAGCCACTTAAAAGTGTCTTAACCAGCTTGTGTGTGATGTGTGTGTGTTTGTAAATTATGTATACATCTGTGGGAGGATCTCATTTGGCAAAGCCACACCTCGTCAAGGGGTCGTGTGTGTTGGATACATTTATCCTTAGCTAGTGTTTCTGTGGCTGTGTTTGTGCAGTGGGGATACATAGTACATTCTACGTAGTGTGACTAGATGGTCATAATTTGTTTGCCCATTTCCCATTGGAGTTGTTTTATAGCAGTGAGCAAAGCTGCAGATGGAGATGCAGAGCTGACCCGCTGCTCTGCCAGTTTACTGCAGAGTGTGTGCAGGGTTGCTGGCAAGAACAGAGCCAGACGGGACAGTTAGCTTGGACGGTATAAGGCACAAAGAGATTACAGTAATGTGGTGGTGTAGAGCAATATGCTGTAAATATTGCCCCTTCATTTTATTTATATCTGCATTAGATCAGTGTTATCTCCCTGACTGCAATATTGGTTTTGATATTATTTTTCATGAAAAGGTACCGTAAAACTCGGAATATAAGTCGCACTGGCATATAAGTCGCAGTCTATTTTTTAAGGTCTCAAACAGGGAAAACAAGGTTTTATATTACTATTTGTTAATAAAAACGTTATACAAGTTATTCCTACACTGTTTCCCTTTATTTTTAATTTGAAACACATTCAAAACACAATAACCTCTTGAGCAGCTTTGGTTACTTTTCAGATTGCAATTTTCCAAACAACCTCTTCAGGAAATAAAATTACGGTATAACAACATCTGAGCCATAAAAATGAGTTTAAATTAACGTTAAACTTCTTTTTTCTTTTTTAAGAAGACAGCATTACAGTACCTTATTACAGTGTGGGCTGTAACTATACATGCTTACTCAAATAACAAAACAAATGAGTTTAAATTACTACGTAGTGTAGGGTGACCATATTTTGATTTCCAAAAAAGAGGACACTCGGCCGGCCACGAAATAGCCTACTTAAATGAAACTCGCAGTTTAATCAAAGATGCCTTATAATTTTAATAAATTTAAAATATATATGTATGGATAGAAAATTCAGTTATATTACAAAATAATATCTCTCAAAGACAGAAATTCAGATAGGCCCCAATAGGGGACACATACACACACTAGAGTGTGGCTACCCGATCTGAGCCCGACGGTACCCGACAGGTCGGTCGGGTTTGGTCAAAAATGTAGCTGTAAATTGTATTCGGGCTTGGGTCGGATTCGGTCAGCTTTCAGTGAAAATGTAGTGTAAAAATAAATAAAATCCTATTGTCTGTCCTGTTTATTGCTTGGGCACTGTTATTTATGTGACAACACCTGAACATAACACACACAGACACACATTGGCTGTTTGTTTCTACCTCTCCCTCGCTGGAAGTCTTGGACCTCCAGCCGCCCACCTCCGCCTTGATTAAACGCTGAAAATAAAATAAAAGAGGGAGACAGGTTTTTCCTATTTTATCTTATTTTGTTTTATTTCTCTCTCTCCTCTCGCTAGAAGCGTCGGACCTCCCGCCTCCCGCTCCCGTCTCAAACACGGAGGTCTCCCTCTCCGCTGAGCACACCCGGCCTGTTAAATAGCCTGTAACCACTGTGTGACACAAACTCAGTGCTTTGGTCATTAAATAATGTCGGGCTCGGTTCGGGTTCGGACAGAAATATGCTGCCCGTGCCGCACAACACACACACACACACAAACACACGGAAAACTGGACATTATCATCAGTTTATAAAAGACCCCCGGACGGGACGTGAAAAGCGGACATGTCCGGGCAAAAGAGGACGTTTGGTCAGCCTAACATAGCGCCATCTTGTGGGTCAAATTACCTATGTCAGCATTTACCTTGGTCTATAGGTTGCACAGGTCTATAACCCGCACCCAACTTTTTAGATGAAAAAAAGGGAAAAAAAGTGTGACTTATACACCAAGTTTTACGGTAACTTCAGTGTTTTTCAACCTGGACTGCATTTCCCATGTTTTGTGTCTAAGTGACTGATGGAGACAATCATTTTTTAATTAGTCCGGTATTAAATGAGACTGCTGCCGCTAACAGCAGTGAAACAAGGTGCATTGAAACAGGGCACTTGTGCATAGTCAGCGTATGTCCACCAAAAGGGCTTGTTTTTGCCACTGACAGGTTTAGATTATCATTCTCAATGTCTGACAGCATTATGGAAGAATCCCTACAGACACTGTCCTTTTTCTTCAAGAGTAAGATCCTTTTTGTTAAACCAGAAACAACCCAGAAATGGCTAGCGGCAAACCCACCAGACTCCATTTAAATAAACAGTCATTTAATTATCATAAAACACACTTCATTCAAAGTTAACAGAAACAAAATAAAGCTCACAAAAGCCATCTTGGTCCATCTTCCTACTGTTCCAACAATCACCAACTCTGAACTGGCTGAAATAAACCCAGAATTCACCCAGTTAGATGTGAAAATATGCTGGCGCTGTGCACACTAAAATGACCGTTTATGTGAGTCTGGTGTGTTGGGTGATGCTGCTTTTGGGTCTGTCTCTGGTTAAACAGAATGCTCTTAGACTCTTAGAATAACAATCTGAGCTAGTCAGTGGCAAAAACAAGCTCTTTTAGTGGATGTAAACTGACGGTGACCAATGCCCTGAGTGGTTACATCGCAGCCTGTCCACTGCTAGCGGCTGCAGCGGTGTCCTCAATACTGGACCAACTTCAAATTTGTTGTTCCCATTATTCACTTAGACACAAAACATGGGAAAATAGAGTCCATGTTGAAAATTACCACTGTTTTCCTTAAAGAGTGACTATAAAGAAAGGGTGGATCATGTAAAGAAGAACCTTGTGTATTTAAATTTGCTGTCTTATTTTCTAGGATTTTCTACGTTTCTCATGACTCCCAGGACTTAAAGATCTTCAGCTACATCGCAAGAGACGGTTCCAATAATTCCTTCAGATGTAATGTCTTCAAGTCAAAGAAGAAGGTACAACAAAAGACTGCTCACACACCCCCTGACTGTAGACATACACAGCTGATTACACACACTTTTGTAAGAAATAGAAATATCCTGCTGCTTTTACATTTCATCACCCCTGAGATTTACCCAACTGAAAATGAAACCAACAACCACACAGAGAGAAAGCTGCATTAGTAGGCCTTAAAGGGACAGTTCAACCCAAAACCAAAAATACATATTTTTCCTCTTACATGTAGTGCTACGTATCAGTCAATATTGCTTTTGTGTGAGTTGCAGAGTGTTGGAGATAATGGCCGCAGAGATGTCTGCCTTCTCCTGAATATAATGGAACTAGATGACCCTGGGCCTATGGTGCTCATAGTGCCAAAAAAATACATTTGAAAAACTCATCAGCAATGTTTCTTTACAGAAATCATGACCCACTTACTCAAGATAATCCACAGACCTTGTTGTGAGCAGTTTCATGAGGGAACTATTTTCTTTCTACTGAACTACACCCACCAACCGTATCACTGCACAGAAGGAAGCGTGCATCTACTCATGGACAAGACGCTAGTGCTCAAGACACAGGAGATGTAAACATTAATGTTGTCTTCCTCAGCTGAGCTGTAACATTAGCTAGCTCAGTGATGCTAGGTGAGCTAGCAGTAGATGTACACTTCCTTCTGCATGATGATACAAGTGTACTTCAGCAGACAGAAAATAGTTCCTACTTGAGGCTGGACATGACAAGATCTGTGGATTATCTTTTTTTTTTCTTTCTTTTTTTTAAGATTATTTTTGTGGGCTTTTGCCTTTAATTACAGGACAGAGGATAAAAAACTGACATGCAGCAAAGGGCTGCGAGCCAGATTTGAACCTGCGGCCGCTGCAGCAAGGCAGTGCCTCTGTACATGGGGCGCTGGCACTATCCACTATGCTACTGACGCCCCTAGATCTGTGGATTATCTTGAGTATCCAAGTCATGATAAGGAGACATTGCTGTTGAGTTTTGCAAATGTGTTTTTTGGCACTTTGAGCACCACTAGCCGAGTGCCATCTAGTTCCATTATATTGGAGAGAAGGCAGACATCTCTACAGCCGATGAAAGATGTAGTTTTGATTTTAGGGTGAACTATCCCTTTAATCCAATGCAGCCATTAGATGTGTCGTATTCAGGACGGCTCTTTCTTTTCCCTAACTGGAAAAGGCCTGTGCACTTATTCCTCACCACCCAATTTGCTGCTGTCATTGCTCCTTGATTTGTGTTAAGCACTCTGTAGACTTAAATGTGATTTGCTTCAGCTTTCTGCGTCCAGCTACCTATGACCAAGGGCTGTTTGTTTCCTGTGTTTCTGAATTTGGATCTTTTAATTTAAGAATACATTTCCTGATTATGTCAGCTCAGTGAATCAATTTTGGTTTTAAATTTGATTTCCGGTGGTTTAGTTAATATCCTGCTGCTAACCGCTCTAGATCCATCACCTACAGTGAATACAGAATAGATGCACTGCAAGACAAGGATTGCAGCTGCATATTTCAGACAAGTACCTCTTTACCTTTCTTCAGTTTAAGCTGTTTTTTATGTGTGTTGCTGCAGTTGTTGTAAGTTACCGCAGTCTTGGCTCATAGGTCTGGTATTATCAGTTAGATGTAATGAGAATTGTTCCAAAGAAGCGATGTTATTAGTCTTTGATCGAGGGTGTTCAGCTGTGTGCCAAGAATGACTCAGTGTTCATGTTTTCAGTCCACCAGAGGCTACAGCAGGTGAGTTCATTTAACTCATCTCAAGGCAGGCAGGAGGAACTTGTCAGTGAAATGACTTGATGTGGTGTTTGGGGCTTATTGTTGAATCCTTCTGCTTTAAACATTGACCTTTTATCTCAAACTCTCCACCCTGTTCTTTCCGTCCATCTGTCTCTGCCTCCTCTCTTTCCCTGTCAGACGCAGGCCATGCGTATTGTGCGCACAGTGGGTCAGGCCTTTGAAGTGTGCCATAAGCTCAGTCTGCAGCATGCTGAGCAGGATGCAGACGGACAGGCGGATGGAGAGAGTGACAAGTCTGCAGAGGAATCCAGCAGCCACGGTGAGGCCTACCTGAAAGGATTTACCGTTACCTGCTGTGCACAGTGTTGCCTTTGCAGAGTACAGTCAAATTCACATTTTGGGTTATTATGTTGTGGCTGATTTACATGACTACAAAAAACTGTGCATGACAATATGTTGAAATGAGGTATTTAAAGGTATAGGGTATTTAAAGGGAGCGATAAAATCCTGAAAACTACTAATAGTACTGATTCTTTGACTGTGTTTGCAGCTAACTTTGTGAGCCAGAGACTGTGTGCAAACACCTGCGGCTTGCCTTCCAACTGTTAGGGAGCCCAAACAGAACAGAAACAGCACAAAACTTTGCCAACTTTTACTTGCTGGATTTGTTTTAGTGAAATGATGGAGTGCATATACCCAGTTATGCTATTAGATAATTAATTGAGAAGTTTTTATTCACCTTCATTACGGTTTGCCAGATGCAAAAATGCTAAAGCTTGTACAGATTTTTTTTGTTCTTTCCAATGAAAGAAAAACATACAACAATCATGAAAACTGCACATTGAGTAAGTTAAACTGACAATATCAACAGCTTATCATATCACAAGAATGGCTGAATTATGAGTACAGATATAGCAGAGTTGGGTCAAAGTCAGTGCAAGTCATAAGTAAGTCTTTGCTATGAAGTATCACATCAAGTCCCAAGTTATATATAACATTAAGAACATTTTAAAGCAAAATGTTCATGTGTGCCTTGGTATGTTTTTCCTGATATCACAGTTAGGGTTCGATCTAATTTTTTTCAAATCTGAATATAGTTAAGGGAGCCCAGTAGCATTGTAGGTAGGGCGGGCTCCCCATGTACAAAGGCAGTGTCCCTGCTGCAGTGTCCGCAGGTTTGATTCGGCCCCTTTCCATCATGCTGTCCCCTCTCTCTCTCCTGCTTTTGAAGTTCAAACTGTCATTAAAGGCAAGAAAACCTTTTTAACAACATTTAATCAATTTGTCTTTATAAGAAAAGTAAAAACAAACATGAAAGAAAGATCAACGCAAGAGACCACAACCTGAAATGGATATGGGTTAGGGGCGTAATGTGGGGGGGCAATGGCCCTTCCCCTACTTCCTACTCCCCCTACTTCTGGCCCCCCCTGCTCGGACCACACCCATCTTTGTACTCTGCCTTCATTTTGAGTTCAACTAAACAGGGATGCATGATATTGGATTTTTTGCCGATATCCGATACGCCAGCATTGAACAACTCATTTGACCGATAACAAATACCGATACTGATATATCCTCTGTTTTTTTTCTACCTAATTTTAGTGATCATCAAGTCTTTTCTGTAGTGGAATTAACATCATTTTATACATGCATACCCTTATGATGGCCCAGCAGCAGATGGAGACATGAAATACAACACTTTTCAAAGAATGTAAGATAGATAGACAGATAACTTAATTGTCCATCTAAGTGGAAATTTGTTTTGGCTTCTCTCAAAAATCAAAGGCACAGACAGACACACAACACAATTGACCTTTAAAAACATACAATTTAACAATGTATATGATACAATAGTCCAAATAGGCAGGTAGGACCAATAGGTTATATAAACGGTAAAAGAGCACATCAAATAGTATTGTTCCTTGATACAGTCATTCAGTATACATTGCCTGTCTGGCATAGGGAATAAAAGACTTCTTATATATGCTCCGACTGGCTCTAGGGACCCTAAATCAACACCCAGAAGGGAGCAGCTCAAACTCTGAGTGTAATGAATGTGAAGCATTGGCAATTATATGTTTAGCCTGCCTACGTACAGCATTGTCAAATACATTGCTGAGTTGTTTCTGTGACTTGCCAATCACCTTCCCTGCAATGTTGATAATCTTGGAGAGGTTGTTTTTGCTCTTTGCACTCAGGTTGCCGAACCATGCTGTAATGTTAAATGATAAAATGCTTTCAACCAGGCTTCTGAATGCTATCTCAAGTATGTGCTATATGCGGAATATTCATTCATTGTGCAAAATAAGAAAAAGCATATTGGCCGGTTCTGATTTTAAAATTGATATTGGCCGATACGGATGACGTACCATTATTATCAGCATGTTGGCTGATTCCAATATTTCATTTTAAAGCCAATTTCAGCCAATAATGATGACCTACCAATGTTATTGTGCATCCCTACAACTGAACACCTTTAAAGTTTCATGACTGCATCTTGCATGGTTGTGATGCTGTTGTGGTGACAAGATCAGTCTACAGACAGACATTTAAACACCTGGCAAAATACTCAAAACACCCCTGTGGTAGTTCCAGTAAAATCGGTGTCTGCTAAACCACTTTCTGCCATGTTCAGACTCACAAGGTGAAAACAAGCCCAGCCGTCCCAGGATTGTCAAGACTGGCAATAATTAGAAGTCTGCTTACCTGAATGTTTTACTGTCTTAATGTGATAATGTGTTAGTGTGTGCTGTCAAAAGCACATTTCCCTCCTTTCAATGGCTTCGAATAGGTCTGTTATCAGAAATATAAGGAGTTAATTGACTGCACACCTCACTGGTTTTACAGCAAACTTTAATTTTTTTTCAAGTACAGTCTGAAGTAATCACATTTTAACTTCAGTCTGACTCTAGGCAAAGTCTTGCAATTGGACTCACACGTCTGAGTGAAAAAATGTAACAGAAAAAATGTGACCCAGCCAAATAATTGTGTAAACGAAAGTACACAATACACAGAAAGCTTTGTGGTTACTGAAGTGTGTTTCTTAATGCCAACCATTTTTCACAGACACGCAGGTATTTTAAAACTCTCATCTGACCTTTAACATCTGGTGTGAACAGTGTTAATGTGGAGAACGTGGTATTTATAAGCCTTTATTGTTCATTTTGGTCACACGCTTGCAGACTATCTCTCTCTCCTGGCTGAAGCTTGACCTTAGATTGATTACACGCCTCTTTACGACCTAAGTGGAGCCATCAGACCTCACCAGCTCATTAATTCAGCACAGCGGTCAAACAGCAACAACACAGATGTCCGGTTACACTGCCGTGTAAACAGATTTAACAAACAACATCAAACTAATCTGGATTTAAGTGTTCTGTGATGCTGTGTTCATTTCATGTGGGATGGAGGGTAACAATGACAAAGATTGCCATGATTACAACCGACACGTCATTGGACAACACAAGAGGTTGATTGCCAGTGTTACAGTAATTAGTGTAATTTGCTCAGTGAATGAATAGTTGTCTGCCACTGAGCTGCAGTTGTGTGACAGGCAGAGATGATCACGCAGGAGTAAAGTACTGTGTATGTGCTCAAAATAGCATTAATTTAGGGTTTAGTTAACCAAAGGAAAGCATCCCTGTTTGTTCCTTTTTATGGACCCTTATGCATTGTTTTAGGTGATGGCAATGTTTGCTGAATTGTCCTTGTGTGTTCTTTCACAGGTCGTAAGCTGACGGGTGCAGAGCGAGGGGAGGAAGAGGAGGACAGCAAAGTTGCAGGAAGACGAGGAGGAGAAGATCCTTCAGCTGGCACTTCACTGTGTGAAAAGGCAGTCAGTGAAATTCTGCAGAGTCTGGCTGAGCTGAATGTGGTCAAACCGGGACAGACCATAATGGTAAGATACTGCAGCACACACACACACACACACATATTGAATTGCTAAGGGCAAGGAGGTTAAAATAAGCACACTGTATTGTGCTTGATAGATGGTGGTTGTCCACAGTCCCTACAGTGTAAAGTCAAACAGCCTTTTTTAAATTTCAAAGGTCAAGAATAAGATTTAGATCTAATGGACATGGTTTTAAGCTGGAAAAACATTAGATTTCTCCTCACTGTTTGTGTTTGGTATATTGAAATTTTAAGGATACTATGGCTTTTGCACTTTTCTTCTTTTTTTAGAGGATAAAACAACTTTTTGGATGTATTTGTGAAAACAGCATCTAAGGTTCAAGCCATAGATTAGCCATGATTATCAGAAAATGGACCCCTGGGCACAATTTGCAAAAATGGTCCTTTTTCATTGTCACTTTTGGCCTCACCAAGTCAAGCCACATTGCGCTGGTTTGCATTTCCATTATCAGTTTAGACACGTTATACCCATACCGGGCTGCACCAAAGGCGGACCTTCTCCGGAGAAGGTCCAAAAGCCTGGCTGCCCACCCTCAAACGGTGTAGCAGTGGCGTCTCGTCATCCACAGCCACCTCTCGTTGACCTGCTTTCTTTCCCTTAAACAAGCTGTGTGTGTTGCAACACTGACCTCACCTCTGTCTACAGGAGCCCAGAGAGAAAGGTCTCTGTGTGTTCAGCTCTCAGTACTTTGGAGTTTTAGTTTAGTTTCCCTCTTGCGTCCTGTTCTTACTTTATTTTACTTACTGTTTGATGTTCGCTATCAGCCGTATTAGTTTTTGTGCTGCTTCAGAATAAAAGATTTAGATGACAAAATAACGGGACTTTTATTGTGAAGGATCTATAGGAAATTAAATGTGTTTATCACTGAATGTGAAACTTTGTTAGCAGCTTTTCTTCAGCAAAGACAAGTTTAGCCACGGATCAGCTTGTTGCTTTTAAACATCACTTAAGACAAACCACCATCAGTTAAAGACACACCTTCAAGCAGGTAGCACTGTTGTAATGGAAATACAAATCCCTGCCGCACTGGGCTGATGGTGAGCCTCTTTTTGTGACATTGTTTTGCATCTCTTGTAGTCACAATGCATCTTTATTTGTTTTTGAGTGTATTTGCAGTTGTTTTGTGTCTCTTTGAGGTCATAGCATTGGTTATGTACTGTATAGACAAAATCCGTCCGTCCTTTTATTGCAATAAAAACTTTGTGAGGACCCATTGTGCTCCATATGGAAAGTAGAAGCTACTAAACTAAGTTACAAGGTTGCATCTAGACAGTGGAAGCTGGTTTGCCTAACTTGCTAACATTAGCAATGATTCCCACCAGACTAGACACTTTTTGACTCTGTTACTGTAACACTTGCTGAGTCATTGGCTCAATGCTGTGTTATAAAAGGATGTCAACCTAATTTTAAATGACTAACTTCAGTCTAGCTTTATCATCAGCTATTATTATTCAACAATCTTTTGAATAGAAAAGACCTAGACAGGGGAATAAACTGACTCATGTAAACTCTGTATTTTGTGGGAAAATTAAACCATGTTTAATAGTCAAATTGAATAATTCAAAGCAAACACAAAGGAGTCCCCCGCACAAACAATGGGGATCAGGGATTAGTCATCAGCAATGCACATCCACAGGTCATTCACATTTCAGTCTGGCTGATGATTGCTTGACTGAACATGCTCCTGCTGTGCCCCACTCACTGGAAACAGGCAGTGCAGAGAGGCACAGCTACTGTGAGCAGGGAGTGTACATATACTGAGAGGTATTACGGACTGTCGTTAAAGAGAATCTTTGGTATTTTCTAACCTGTTTTCTCATGTTTTTATGTCTAAGTGACTAATGGAAAAACATGTTTAAGATTGGTCCAGTATTTAAAGAAAGAGCAGCTATGAAACAGGCTGCTGCGTAACTACTCAGGGTGTGTTCGCACCTCCAATTTACGTCCACTGAAAGTGCTTGTTTTTGCCACTTACAGGCTCAAATTAATATAACTGTCTGTCAGAGGAATAAAACATTCTTCTTTACCTTTTGCTTGATCCAGTATGTTTGTAATTGTGTCTAACTAAGTCTTGCTCAAGGAGAAGTCTCACTCTGAAGTCACGAGAGTTGATTTTTTTGCAGAAAGACAGTAATTAGCAGACTGGATCAAGCAAAAGGCAAAGATAGATAGATGTTTTATTTCACAGTAGGGATCCTTAATGTTGTGAAACACTTAGAATAACAATCTGAGCCTGTCAGTGGCAAAAACAAGCACTTGAGTACATGTCCATGAAGATGCACTCATGCACCAGTGCTTAATTGCAGCTCATTTTGCAGCTGCTGGCTGCAGCACTCTCTGGATCAGACTTAAAGATGTTGTTCCCATTAGTCACTTAGACACAAAAACATGAGGAAATTGTGTCCAGGTTGATAAATACTGAAGTTTCACTTTAAGGGAGAGGAGGTAAGGGTTGGCTGATTTGTTGCTGGGGACATTAAAAAAATCGCCAAGGGTGGCTGTAAAAGTTGCTAAACCCTAGAAGCAAAATTGCCAAGTTGGCAGCACTAACCACTGGAATTTATGTGATATTACAAACTATTTTTAGTCGTAGTCTTTGGACAGCTTAACCTTACTACACTGAAATGTAAGGGCAGTCTCACATTCACAAACTCAGCTCATGAGCACCACTTTCTCATGAGAGTTAGTTTCCATCACAGTTGTGGTGGAGGTTTATCCCTGACACCAGGGGCGAGGTAGGAGCAGCAGCATCCACATTTTAATGATTACATTTTTTTTTTGCCCCAGACTGCCTCTGTCTTTTTAACTACAGGAAATTACTTCTGATGTGATTCATTGCTTTGGCTTTAGTGGTGTTTTGATGCTATAATCCATGCATAGTGCTGCCAAATGGCTCATTGACCTAAGGAAGTACAGTACAGTGGTTTGTCATCTACTGCAGTACCTGACCAGATCATTGACTGCAGCTGTCCATGACTAACCACAGTTGGCAGCAGATACTGTAGGTGTGAAATAACGCGGTCACGCTTGCATGAGGTAGAAAGACTACATTTTTGTTTCTCTGTGTTTGAGATTTAGCACACTTTAAATCCTTATGAAGTTCAGAGCTGACGATTATCGCACACGAATATTTTCAGTGTGACAGGATGAAAAGATGCAAACATGCAGGCTCTGGTGTGTCATGATGCTATTCCTTTGGATTTGTCACCATAGTGAGAGTGGTAGACACTGCTGTTATCAAGCTGCTGAAAGAGAGAGAGCGTTGGATTGGAGTGGGGAACCTGAATATTCCTGCTGGCTGTGAAAGGGGGACACTTAATCCCAAAAACCCCAGTCTGTTCTCTTTGATTTCTGGGAAACGCCACCATAATCCCATTGAGGGGTTCACGAACATCTGCTCTATGGAGATAAGCAAGGAGAGAGGGAAGGAATAAGAGAGAGGAGGAAAGAAAGAGATGGAGGGAGGAATAATGAGAGATCAGGATAACAGGAAAAAGACTGGCCAAAAGATAAACTACACAAGATGCTATAAACAGGCACCACAAGTGTGGACAAAATAACAGAAGCACTTCCAAGACCATCTGAGCTGTTGAATTGACTGAATTTGAGGTCTGCTACTAATGATTATTTATCATTATCAATGAAAAGCCCTGAAAGCACATTTTCTCAATGAGCTTTTTACTGTAAACAGAGAGCAAAATGTTGCGGCAGAGTTTGAAATGCGTCACATTTCTTATATTTTCTCTGAGCTTCTCTGACTGGTGGAGCAGAATGGTAAGCGGCCAAGAAAAAGACAATGAGGATATTAACTGACATTGGCTCATATCAATCGTGGCCCTCAGAACTGATTCAAATACAAATCGTACCATGAGAAATATAGTATGGCTCTCCAAGAAATTGATATAACATGGTATCATGATAAGACTTGTTACTAACACTCCTACTAAACATGCAACTGCACGGTTGAACAGTGGTTAGCATTGTTGCCTCACATTGAGAGGGTTCCGATTTCACATTGTGGAGTTTGCATGTTCTCCCCGTGGGTTTTCTCTGCATTCTCCGGCTTCCTCCAAACACATGCAGGTCTATGTGCTGGCCCTGTGATGGTCTGGTGACCTCTCCAGGGTGTCAACAGCCTCTCACGCAATGTCAGCTGAGATCGCCTTCAGCCCTCCTGTTACCCTTAAGATAGTCTCGCTCACCAGACCTTTCTCAAGAAAAGAAAGGTCTGGCTGGACCGACTCTCACTTTAAGATTGGAGAAAAAAAAGCCCAGGCTGCTTGTATTTCTTTAAACAAAACACAATAGTTCTAGGCGGTGCCACAGCAACGGTGCGCTTGCAAAAATATTGCTGGGAAGAAACAGGTTTTGGTGTAACACGCCCACAAAAATATCACCTACAGGACGCGATCCATGGCAGAAAAATGGCTACATCCCCGCAAGATCAAACACCACAAAAGTTAGTAAAGGACGTGTTGAAAACTGCTACACAATCGGAGGTGGTAGGGCGGGACTTCAGCGGGTGGCTCGTTCCGCCCAATGAGAGGCTGATCTATGCAGCAAACTTCCGCCTGCTCAGACTACCCTTAAGAGGATAAGCATTTACAGAAAATGGATGGATGAATGAATGAATGGATAGATATGCAACAAGTTAAGCTAAATAAAACACATTTGGTTATTATTCAATGATAGTCCAACACTCAGACACTCTCAATCTGCTTTATCACGACCTTGTGGGTGTGATCTGATCAGTTTTGATTGACCCTGACAGCCCATGGTATGGTATGATGGTAGGAGGTGACAGTTGTTCCTTTGCGTTTTGTATATGTCTTAAAGGTTTTGTAACTGGCAGCAATCCTAGATATTAAGTCACGGTGTACCTGAAAGATTAGATCATCAAAATGTATCAGATATATAATCTTTATGGTATAATTTTATGGTGCCAAATTAAAATTTACCTTCTTTTTACATGCATTTCAAATTATCAAGGGTAACTGATGATGATACACTGAGGTCGAAGGCTCTCTCACTCATTTGTGGGACCTTCAGTTGAATAGGATGCACTTTATGGTGTACTCCATTGCCCTCTAGTGGTGTGATGTAGGAGTTACAGTGTATTTGTGTCCCACTGTAGAGAAAGTAAGTAGTTTTGCATGACAGCAGAAGCAATTTGTGTGATTTGTAGAGGTGAATTGTATGATTAAAACATACTTACACAATAAACCCATCTCTCTTGGTGAGTACTGATGTCCCTGAAGACAGAAACACACAATTGCTCTGTTTCTGCTATCTGTGAGAACACCGTGAAGTGTAAAGCTGCTTGGGGAATGTCCTATAAACATGAGTGCTACCAGAGATCATCTGGAAAATCATTTAAAAATCCAAAGAGGAAGCAGACTGGGAGAGATAAACACAGGCAGATAAAGGGAGAGTATGGTAATGAGCTCAGAGATTATTCCAGTTCTGATGAGGGGTTACAGTCGGGCTCCAGATCAGTGGGTCGCAGCCCTGCTCTCAGGGACTCTAGAGGACTGGGCGGTTTCTGTCCTACTGGTTCGTTAATTGCATTCATCTGGTGTCCAGGGTCTAAAAATAGCTCCTATTATGTAGTGAGGATGAAAAACTGGCAGCACCATGGGTCCTGAGGACCAACATTGAAGTCCATTGTGTCTTTGATGTTTTTTTATGTGGTTACAGTATGTGTCAGGGAATATGACGTGAAGTATGTTTTTTACAACCATTTTCTATCAGTAAAATGATTTATTTTTTCTCTGTGTGTTTGTCTGTGGTCAGGACTTTGATCGAAGGTCCCTCTTCACTGTGACGTCCCAAGGCATTACTCCCAGCAGCCCTTGCTCTCGCTCTCTCACTCCGCTGGCATCACAGCACTACCTGCAGCTTCTTCAGCAGCAGCTGCAGCAGCAACAGCAGCACACACAGGTGGCCGTAGCACAGGTAAGACATACATCACACACCAGGGGTCATCAACTACATTTGTCTAAGGGACAGAATTTTCTAAGCGGGCATCACGGGGGCTGGACTTTAAAAAAAAACAAAAAACAGATTTTTAAATAGTTACATGTTGGTGAAGATTCTCAGTCATCCAGGTCATTGTAATCCTGAGTGTTATATCATATGGAACTGGACTTGCTTGGGTTTCTTGAAAATGTTTCACCTCTCATCCAAGAGGCTTCTTCAGTTCTAACTGACTGGTGGGAAGTCACAGGCTTTAAACCCTGTGTGGATGTGAACCCCTACAGAGTCATTGACATCACATGTGAGCATTTGACAGTGACCTTAATAAGTTTAAAGCCTTCCACTCCACAACACCAGTCATGTAAAACAGAAAAAGCCTCTTGGATGAGAGGTGAAACGTCTTCAAGAAACTCAAGCAAGTCCAGTTGCCTCTGATGGAGCACTTTGTCAAAATGCGAGAATGCGCTGCACAAAGTGAAAGCGTAGATTTACGGGACTCGGTCCGTCACTCAGCTATGTCCATCGGGGAACTAGATATTTTAAATGGTTCGGCTCACAAAAACGGAATTAAAATAAAACAAAATATAATAAAATAATATCCTGCGCCCAATAATTCGGTACAGGGTCGTGCCGAACCGAAAGTCGCGTACCGAACGATTCGACACAAATACATGTACCGTTACGGCCCTATTAAGTACCCATGGATGGGATGCACATAAATGGGGATGGTAAATCGTTTTCTAAAGGCCTTGACACACCAAGCCGATGATTAGCTGTCGGTCAAAACTGGGCTGTAGGTGAGCGTCTGCTATTCTCGTCAATGCAGTCGTCAACCCCCATCAGCTTTTTTCGTTTTTTGGCTGATTCAGCATATTGAATCGATGAGGGGTGAATGAAATCACTCTGACTGGCAGTTCAGCTCAGCACAGGAGAAGTGAGAAAAGTCAACAAAGAGCTAAAGTCAAGGGAACTGAGACCAAAACAAACTTGTTACATAAAGTAAGATTATTTTTCTTTAGCCATTGAGCTCTTTAGCAGACATGCTTCCTGATGGTTTGTGTTATTGTTCACTGGTGCACAGTAAGTATGCTTTATTCTTTCAACATTGGATTGTGTTGTTAATGTACTAACTGGCTAACTAGCTTCAAGTTGGTCATCCAGTTTCCATATTTTGAATCACGATTACAGACAACCACAATCTGTTGATGGGGAGGGTTATTTCCTCTCACACAGGTGCAGAATGTACGTGCTGTTGACTGTCACCTGTAGTGTTAAGGGTGTGCTCATGTGCAGCTTTCTGGGACATGGCGACGTCAGGCGACGCTTCATTGCCACTAGTTCTCTGAAGTCGGTTTGGTGTGTCTGGGCCCAAATAAAATTATTTCCATGTTAATTGTTTTTTAAGGTGCTTTAATAACGGAAAAAACATTCTAGATACCTTTAAGACTGAACAACATTTTTTCCCTCTTCACATTTTCTGAATTCATAATTATTGTTTTGGCTTTGGTGGGCTGTGTGTGACCCTTGATGATTACTGTTATACACAGTGGACAAGCTATATCTTTTTCTGCATTACACCTACAATACAAGCTCAGATTTAGGGCTGCAACTAACAATTATTTTATGACAATTATTGATGATTTTGATAATTGATGTGATTGATGAATTGTTAAAAAATGCCCATCACAACTACCTAGAGCCCAAAATGGTGCCTTCACGCACCTTGTTTTGTTTCAAGTCCGAAACCTAAAGATATACAATTACCAATGATATATAACTAATCACCAGAACCAGAGAGCTTTTTTAACTGTTTTTACTTAAAAAAAATACTGAAACAATTCACATCTTACTGAAATTGTTGATTTTTATTTATTTTTGTCAATCATTAATCAATTTAGCTCCACATTTCTATTGCTTTTTCAAGCGCTTTCATCGATAAGATTAACATTTCTCATTGTCTTTGTTCTTTGTTTAATCTTTCATCAACAGGCTAATTTAAGATCAAGACTGAAACCCAATAATCAATATCAAATTAATTAAGCTTGATACTCACCTGTTTTCAGTGAAGCCAGTGCTTGCTGTGTACCTCTTGTTTTTCCAATTTACTCCATCTTCAATTTCAGCAGGCCTAGGTGAACCTGAGAGATTGATCTGGACTCATGGTGTGGATTTAGCTCTCCCAGTATGGCATCATTTATTACCATTACTTGGCTTATTCGGTGACATGTTCACACAGCTTTGTATTTATCTCAGTCAGCTTATGAAAACCTAAAGTATGGCATAAAATAAAACTGGAATTATTTTGTCAGCTAAACATGTGATGTTTTTTCTCATTAGAGCCACACAAAGACATTGTTGTAGCAGTATTGTCACAATATTGACATTTATTCCACCCAAACCTCCCTTGGTGCACTTTTACTGTGCTCGAGGCCAATATATACACTAATATACACACTATTACATATTTAGGTAGAACAGTTTGGAAAATCCTAAAGCACAATTGAGCAGGATGGAGACATATTCGGGTGATCTTCATCTTGAGTTCATAGCTTTCCCACTAGGGGGCAGCTCCAACACAGTTATGGAAGAACAGCCAGTGCAGCATAATAAAATACAAGCGGTGCAACATTTGTAACTGAGCATCTCATGGGATACATCAAGCCTCCATTTATAGTGTAATCTGAGGAAGTGCAACACAAATGCATATTTACTTCAGTATTTCATGTCCGATCCAGTTGATTGCACTGCCACTGCAAATCATTAAAGTTAATTATCCGTTTAAATAGCCATTCCATCGTCACTTTCAGTTTCAGTCTTGGGATTATACTGTGGTTATAGACAAGATTATGAGTCCATAATATTGTCAAAAACATATGATGTGGAGGCGTGAAGGTGATTGGAATTGAGAAACGAGACAGAAAAAATAACTATTGAAACACACATCAAAATGGATAATGCATCTAGTTTTGCATACAAATCAAATCACATGCAAACATCACACCTCGCCCTTTGTTTCCACCACAGGTGCAGCTGTTGAAGGATCAGATGGCAGCAGAGACCGCTGCTCGGATGGAGGCTCAGGCCCGCGTCCACCAGCTGCTGCTGCAGAACAGGGACTTGCTGCAGCACCTGGCCCTGCTCGTGCAGCAGCTGAAAGAGCTGGAGGCCCGCTCCCCGAAAACACAGCCAGGACAGTCACAACAGGAGCCTCAGGCTAATGGACACAGTAAGTGACTGGTGGGAACAGTATGATCCCTCAGACAGACTCATGTCAGGTCAGGTTGCCTGTGTGGTGCCGTCCTTGTCACTGCTCACTCCTCTGTTGGTGTAGTCATACATGACACAAACCATGACCCCTTACTGGCTTCCTGCCTGTAAACATCCCCTGTTGTGTCTGATGGGGCAGAAGCACAGCTGCCAGGTACTCAACTCCGCTCTGTAGGTGGAACAAGAGTGCCTTTTTTCCTTTGCATCACCTGGCTGTCCTTAAACTGAGCATTTTACTTTGATCTGGACTGAGGAGAAAGAAGAATTGTATCCTTCAGGTGTGAGCAAAACCAAATTAAAGCATTGGTTTAGATACAAGTAAGGGATTTTTTTTAAGTCAGGGTTAATGAGGACTAATGAAAAGCCCCAGTCAATGTAAATGATAATGAATGAGGAGCAAAGGAGAAGAGACTGAGTTAGTGCTCACACATGTTATCTGGTCAGTTATATTGGGTCTTAATTTTAAATTTTACAAAGGCATCTTTGAATTTCAATTTTTTTTATGAATTTTCTCTTGTTATATAGCTACCATTTCAAGTTTTTATATTTTAAATCTTTGTGTAAAATAAGTCTAATGCTCTCGGGTAATGTATATTATAGTAGTGGCATATAGTAGTTTAGTGCAGTGATACTCAGTTTACAACCTGAGGGTCAAATCTGGCCTGTGATGGGGTGACATGTGGCCCCCAAACCATTTTCTAACTCACAATGAAAGTAAATTGGCTCCCACTGGGATTTTTTTTTTTTTTTTTAACTTTTAATGTAAATAAGGTGCCAGTGTGCATTAAAAAACATCAAAAAAGAGCTTGGGCTAAGCCCTGAATGTCCTCAATTCCTTGAAATGCCCCTGCATACACCATACCTGTTCAGGGCTGCTGTGACTGGCCCCTGGCCTCTTGTCAATTTGCAAAAATGGCCTCCAGACAAAGCAAGTTGAGTGTCCCTAGTTTAGCATTTTAGCCCGCTGACATTTGCTAATTAGCACTCAATACTACAAACTTCAGTATAGGCTGAGCATTAGTTGGTTATGACACTAGCAGAGAAGTCATCAGTATTCATGCTCTCAGCACCAAAAACCACTGCACAAAATTCATGGTAGTCCCTTATTTTATACAGTCTATGGGTAGTGCATCCAATAATATTTGGGATATTTTAGTCTAGACCAAAGCGGTGGACCAGCACTATTATGGATCCCACTGCTTTACTAGGTAGTGGGACTGGGCAGTGGCTGTGCTGTGATTAGCTAGTACTAGTGCTATGATTGAGGAGTTATTGTCACATTGACACTTCAAGATTGAAGATGGTTACGGTTAGGGAAAAAGGTCTTGGTTAGGGCAAGTACTAGCCAATCACAGCACAGTAGGGTGAGACTAGCCAGGAAAGCAGCAAGATCCATAATAGTGGACCAATCAACCAACAGATCCATCAAACCACATCGTTAATGTGGCTAATATAAACATACACTCCCTGAACACTCCAGTAGTTTCACCTGTACTGCTCAATGCAATCCAATACAACAGATTTGCCACAAATTCTACTTTTGGGAAGGTTATAAGGTTCAGTTTTTGTTGACACTGTCAGAGAGGCATTCAGTTGTATGTTTATTCCTGAGGTTGTAGTGGTGGTGTCATACTGGACTGCATTATATTGAAAGGAGTTTCTAATATTCTTCCCCCTCATGTTTAGAAACACCCCTCGATAAATTGGGATGTCAGTCACAACTGAACATTATTGTCTTCATAATGGTGGAATTTATGGCTGAGCTGTTGTATTGGATTCCATTGGATTTTACCGGTGTAATAAAGTGGCCACTGAGTGTACATAAAAGTTAAAATGTAACTAAAGTTGTGTCCATTACAGGAAATATTTCAGAATGGGATGGTTAATCTCGATCTTCTTCGTTAATCTTCGAAATGATTAATATATTTAATAGGCCTGATAATTAAAATAAAGGGCCGTGCATCTGCATCACATTGTGTTAAACACTGTGCTCACTTTGCGTCACATGATATGTGTAAACAACGTATTTTTACATACAATAGCATCTCTACGCTAAATTAATAGCAGTGGACTTAAAACCACATTCGTGTTACCTCACACTTACAGAATGTGTTCTCAGTGAGAGTTTTGATTGTGTTAACTACCTTTATTTTGATACCCTAACACACACACACACACGCACACACACACACACATTGATACATGTCGTCCCAAAGGAGGATTTTTGGAGGAGGACTATATTTACAGGAGCTAAAAGAACGATAAGTGTTGCCAAACTAATAATGAATAACCACACACACAGTGGGCAGAGCTGTGTGTGTGTTTGTTTATGTATGAATTAGGCCCGCACAATTAATTGAATATTAATCACAGATATTGTCTCCCCACAATTAAATGAACATGATCGACTGTGATATTGATGTTTACAATGTGTGCTCCGCTCATAGAAAACTCTGCTGCATATCAAATGAGGTGCTTCCTAAAATAACAGTCATGGCAGCTGTTATGCGGCTGCACACACACCCTGCAGTGTCAGCCTGTGGAAAACTTCTTTAAATGTTGCAACTCCAGTCCAGATTAGAAAAGTAATATACAACAGGGATCAGAAAAAATTTAGATCAAATGTCCGGAACAGATGGTGAAGAGCTAGTCTCCTCATCATTGGTTGTTTGGAAGTATTTTGAATTTAGACTGCATGAGACTTGTTTCTGTGACGCAAAGTAACACAACTAACTTATTCAACCACCTGAAAAAACAAACACCACAATCTGCAGTACAGTGAACGCATGAAGGCCAAGAAAAATGACATCACTCACTGAATTCCTGTCATTGTCCAGCGTCAACTCAGACAGCACTAACAGCGTCGCTGTACAGCACGTCACCAAATCTATCAAGTTGGCACATCATGTTTTATGCTTGTATTAATCATGTCAGTCCCTCTGATAGAAAATGCTAATCTCAGACATGGCTGGCCTAAGTGCTCCCAGTGGCACAGTGCCAAGTCCTCTTTTCTGTAATGAGAGTCAGCACTTAGAGAGATCTTTAGAAAAAAAAAGCCTTTCAAAAAGTCTTTCAATTTTGTTGATTTGTCATTTAATTATTCCAGATGGTCAGCTGTCACCAGCCAGCTCTGTGTCCACATCAGCAAAGGCTCTGTCTCTGAATCTGAAGAACCACTACAGCCAGACCCTGGACCAGCTCATCACCTCCACACCTGCATGGCCACTCCAAACCTCACCACTCTCCCCCACCCAAGTGGACTGCGCTGAGTCCTACCTGAACCTGCTCAACCTGGAGAACAGCACTGAACCAGGCGCGCCAGTCAACGGAGACCTGGACCTCTTTATCAGGACCAATGGGACAGCTGACAGCAAGAAGAGCTCCTGCAATGAGATCGTCCCATTGACGTTACGAAACTCCGCCAACATGAATGAAAAGTAAGACGACTGTCCTTGTGTTTATAAAAAATCATGTTTGTTAGTACTGTACAACACATAAAAACATCGTCAGTCGGCCTGCAGTGTGCAGTGTTCCGGCAGATCATTGCAATGATCGCATTATAAAGAAATCGTAAAGCATTTTGGGAAATACATTTATTCACTTTCTGATGAAGGGTTCCCACTCTTTTTTGACTGTATATTCACAGATTTTTGACAAAGGGCAAACATTAGTATATTAGTGGATAGAAGAAAGTGTTAGCATTCCTGGAGTGTACGAACCACACCAAAGGGACTGAAAGTCGACGATTTGAATCATCAGTCACTGATCCCTCAGTCGACTGAGATTCTTCGAGTTGAGCAGTTGGTTTTTTTGTGTCAGTCAATGTCCAGTGTTCTTCTGGGGACGTTTCCGCCCACGGATTAAGCTGTGCTCCTCACTTTCATGCTGCTCTCCAATACAGGCAGCTGGTGACCCAGACCCAGGGTGAGTCTGAGTGAGACGGAGGCAGCTGCCTGAAGGAAGAGAGGCTTTGCCCGGTCAGGCTCAGAGATAAAATTACCTTCTACATTCTCTGGCTTTTGTTTTATATCTAGTGTTGGCAAAAAATCTTGTTCCAAATTTCTGATCCGTTGGTTCGGAGGACTAACCGGGCATGTTTGCTATATTACAGGTATGCTGCTGTCAAACAACAGGCCCTGCTGACATCCATTCAAACACTGAAACTCTACAAGGAATAAAAGGAACAAATAGTCAAATATTCAGATTGATCAGCCAAATCTGATTCAACTGACATATTTCTGAGTCAGTAACAACTCTATGTATTACGGTCAAAAAATATTGATAGTGTATTGGTAGTGCAACGTGACATTTTTAATATTAGTGTATTTGTCATTCCCATTTTTGTTTTCTTTGTCTTACTTCTATTTGAGAGATAATCATGCTCTACATTTTGGAGCTATGGTTCACATTGTGTTTTGTGGGTTGTAGGTTGTCCGTATGTACATAGGTCCATCCGTGCATCCTATTCTCATGAACATGATATCTCAAGAACGCCTTGAGGGAAATTCTTTGACACAAATTCCACTTGGGCTGACTTGGGATCAGATTTTGATGGTCAAAGGTCATGGTCACTGTGATCTCCATCTCATTCTTTTGAGTGCGATATCTAAAGAATATTTGAGGGAATGTCTTTAAAGTTGGCACAAACATCTACCTTGACTTGACAATGAACTGATTAGATTTTGGTGGTCAAAGGTCAAGGTCACTGTGACCTTACTCTGTCTCATTCTTGTAAACGCTCTTAGAATTTGGTGGTCCTTGGTCAAAAGTCAATGTCACTGTGACCTAGAAAAACATGTTTTGGCCATAACTCAACCAGGCATTCAACTGCAAGGCGGTATTCTGGTTTTTAGCCTATATTTGATTTAATTTTGGCAAAGTGGCACCATTAAAGTTTGCCGAATTAGCTGTTAACAGTTCTTGTTTGCAGTGTACCTAGGGCTTATTATTTTCGTTATGATGTGAATTTTTCATATACCGCACACTAGAGCACGGCTCAGCCCGCATTTTCCTGACTGAAGCCGACCCTAGTCCGAGACAATTATAACCGAGCACGGCAGTAATGGAGCAGAGCCTGTGTTGCGTTCAGGCGTTGTCACATAAATAACAAATTCCAGCACTTGAATAGGCCATAGCACAACACAGAAGCATGTCAAGTGGGCCGAACCCAAGCAAAACACTGTCAAATACTGTGAAACCAATATGATTTTTTAAAAAAAGGTGATATAAATTTTTTTTTCATACCGCCCATCCCTAAGTGTACCCCTGGATGTATAGACAACCATCACTGTATTACCTTGATACTGAAGAAAACCCTGAAAATGACACTGTTTCTTTTCTTAATTTATAAGGCATCTATTATCATCATTTTTGAGCAGAGTTTTGTACATTGATACAGGTTAGACTTGGAGATAATGATATCCACAGACAGTATAAATCACACTGAATCTAAAAATGTGTATCACCTGCCTGCTCTGCAGTGAGCCAGATAAAACCCCCATTGTTTTTGCATTTTAATAAGTAAGCTTTAGAGTTGCTGGTAGTGCAGATTTTGTAACCTTTAGACAGAGCCCTGCTAGCTGTTTCTCCCTAATTCAAATCTCTGTGCTAAACTAAGGCCCTGCTGAGTAATGGGAACATATATATGAAAGTGGTATCGATCCTCTCATTTAACTCTCTGCCAGAGAGCAATTATTTCCTAAAATGTCGGAACTATTCCTTTAATGTACATACACACATTCCTAATGTGGTACCAGTCAGTTTGTGTTTGAGGTAGCCGGGCTACACAGTGACATACGCAGCCTGTAGCTTTTAGTGTTATTAGTGGAGAACAGCTCAACTCAGCAGAAACAGCCTGCAGCTAATGAAAGTGTGACTGTAATCAGGGGATTACAGAACGCAGGGAGAAAAGGGCTGGGGTTAGACAAACAAAGAGGGGATCAGGTTTGAGGTTGAAAGAGAGAACCAGAGAAGCTTGTGAGAGAGAATGAGATTTAAGAGAAACACAGAAACTCTGTGCCAGTGTTTCTGTTTCTTGAACTAACTCATTCTGAAAAGCCATTAAAATGCACGTCGAGAGAGTTAAGACAGTAAATGGAATCATTTTCTTTGGAATAATTCATGATGAATGTGTTTTGCTTTTCAGGGATGTCTGAGGTTCTATTTCTCGCTGTCTGGCACGTTTTATCTCGTAAAGTGCTTCCACTACTGTACTTTTGACTTTCTATCTGAATGCTCTGCCATGCAGCTCACTGATACACAAGCAGCCCTTACCTTGAATGCATATATGGAGCCACAGCATCTAATGACTTTTTAATGAGATTTTTAATGAGCTTTTAATCTCCATCACAAAGACCAGCTATGGTAAAAAAACATTTCCTACATGAGATCAAGCAGAGCTCTCAAGCAGGACAAACTCTTTAGTCCTTTTTCTTTTATCCCCCTCCTATTCTCTCATCCTCGCACTTAATTTGTCTGTCCTTTTGCTTTCCGCTATCTCTCTCTGAAAGTAATCCACAGCCAACTCTCAGAGGAGAGCATGTTAAAGTTGATTTCAAAACAGACAAGGGGCAAAACAAGGAGCTGGAAGTGACTAGGCAGCATAGTGTGTATTTGCCATGCTTGCGGATGTTGTAATTTTGTATAACTGCTTTTGCGTGTGTGTATGTGTGTGTTTGTCTGAGGCTGCAGCTTAGTTCCCTACAGTCAGACTCGCATCCTGTGGTTTCCTGCAGCACAGACTCCCAGCCAATCCCAGCTTCCCATCCTCTCACAACCTGAAACTCTACCCCACTACATATGTCGGAATATTTTTTTTCTTTTGCATGAGTGTGGGGGGAAAATAAAAAGGCAAGACAAAAGGGAACTTTAAATCTCTTCCAGAGAGAGGCATCTTGTTACTGTACATTTCCATCTGAACATTAGTTTCATCTGGGAATGAGTTGTGTGCCAGCTGAAACCCCTTCCTTTTTCCCTTTATTTGTAATTATGTAACAACTGACTTTTTTTTTCTATCTGCCATTCCTCCTTCTGAGTGTCTCCGTCCCACATCTTTTTCTATTTCCTGTCTCAAAGGCTTTAAGAAAGATTCAGTATCTTCGAAATATACCACTGGGGCATTTTTGGTCCTTTTCCTAAAGTGTGTTTCCCCTGTCTGCCACCCTCCCCCTCTTTTATAGGCTATTGTCTGCCTCTGCTCCTGAGTGACTTCACTTTTCTGTAAATAGTAATCATAAAACTTTACGCTAGATTTATACACAAATGGCTTATAAAAATAATGAATGGTCAGGTTATTACTGCATGGAAAAAAAACACAAATTATTTTCATGCTGAGCAGAAAAATGGGCAGTGAAGAAATTAGTTTATGATATGACCTTTCAGTGTTTTTAATTGGTGGTGTTACGCTTCTTAGGTGGCTCAACTGAGTCTTAATCTCACTAAATCATAGGAAAAATGGGGGTTGTGTAAATGGAAACTTAAGCTCTGTTGTGTTATTTCCACCGTCAGACTCCTTTGCATTACCTTTGGTGCAGTCAGACCCCTGTGCCCGCCTCCTCTCACCACCACACGGCACATTTTATTGCTTCCATTTGCTTTTGTTTTCTGGATTTCCCCAGTGAATCAATGTTTACAGCCTGAGTGGCTTTATTTTATGTTCTGCGAACTAGCAGACAGACACTGCCCTGCCATCCTCTCTTGCCATCTCTCCTCATCCACTTCCTCCCTTTCTTCGTCCTGCTTAAGCTAACCTCCCCCCTGGGTCCAGCCCTGGTCATGCAGGGCGATGGAATCCGTTCACTTCACTTTATTAGTGCAATTTAGCTTTAAATCACGCAGGAATTATCGCCCAACATGGAGTATATCCGTGTGTGCTCTCCAGCTGGCCCACTGACTCGAGCGCTATATGATCACTGCATATGGTATGTTGGCATACCACACAACCCAAGACTACATCCAACCATGTAGTGAGTCACACTTTACACAACAAACAGAACAGTTAAGGCAGGATCAAAACAGGATGTAATAGTAGGCTTAAAATACTCTTGGTGGCCAGAACATTGATCTGTGTTATTTGGCAACTTTTTGAGTCATCAACCTCTTAATCTGACACACACGAAAACAAGAAAAAAAAGAGTTGACAACTATGCTTGTGGATATTTTGCAAGCCCAAGGGAAGGGGCAGGGCTTTGAAGCCAGTTTAGCATAGTGGCCAAACTTTGGAATTACAACTTCTAGGTCCCTCACGTGATGCCAGACTTTTTCCTCACAGATAGCATTGTAAAGAGACCTCAGTAAATCTTTTTTAGGGACATTAACTTCCCAGTATGAACACTTAAATAGACCTTATTGAAATCATTATATCCTGAAAGTTGAAAAATTGAGTTGAGACCAAGGGGTTGGGAGTCAGGCTTAAAGAAAACACACTTGCTCTGTTGAC